GCGAAAGCAACAGGAAGATGTGAGTGTGGTCCGTCGCACTGAGTTTTACTTTGCTCAGGCACGTTGGCGCCTGACAGAGGAAGACGGACAGCTGGGAATCGCTGAGCTGGAGCTACAGAGGTTCCTCTACAGCAAGGTATTGGGGTGCACAGTCATACAGCATCAGCCCAGTCTGAGGCCTTAACCTATCCCAGGAATTCAATCCACGGAGAGAAAAAAGGGCTAATTGTATGATTATTGATGGTCATAATTAGAGACACATTGGCCTATAGTAAATAATATAGGTATATAGCTAATCAGCCTAGGTGGTGGTGGTACATGCCTTTAATCCCAGCACTCATGAGGCAGAGACAGGCGGATCTCCTGGCTACACAGAGAAACCTGTCTCAAAAAACCCAAATAAGGCTAGGCGGTGGTGGCGCACGCCTTTAATCCCAGCACTCGGGAGGCAGAGCCAGGCGGATCTCTGTGAGTTCGAGGCCAGCCTGGGCTACAGAGTGAGTTCCAGGAAAGGCGCAAAGCTACACAGAGAAACCCTGTCTCGAAAAAACCAAAAAAAAAAAAAAAAAAAAACCAAATAAAAAAAAGAAAGGAAAGATAATTATTCTTATTTTAAGGCCCAGAGTGAAGTAATTTTCCAAGTCAAGTTGTAATAGTAACATTCTGATACTGACTACCCTACAAGAAAAAAAGAATATTATATTACAAGGGATATTTGAAAATAAATGAGAAATTTAAATGTCGCAATAACTAGGAAGTATTAACATTTAGTGGTTTAGCTAGTATTACTCATGAGAAACAGTAGATTAGAGGGTTTGTAGATTGTATATGAGATTGAAAGAAGTTGATAGGGTGTGATTGTGCATACATATATGTTGTTCAAATCTTACAGATCTTATCTGGCTCTGGGTTTTCACCCAGATATCAGGGTGAAAGCTGAAAGATCAGAGTTTCAGAGCAGCCAGCCACTAGTTCTTACCTCTATGAAATCCTTAGCCTAAAGAGTATGAGTTCCTCTTTCTTCACACCTTTTTTTTTTCTTCCCCAGAACTGAGGACCGAACCCAGGGCCTTGCGCTTGCTAGGCAAGCACTCTACCACTGAGCTAAATCCCCAACCTCGATTTTTTTGGTTTTTCGAGACAGGGTTTCCCTGTGTACCTTTGCGCCTTTCCTGGAACTCACTCTGTAGACCAGGCTGGCCTCGAACTCACAGAGATCTGCCTGCCTCTGCCTCCCGAGTGCTGGGATTAAAAGCGTGCGCCACCACCACCCGGCTCCTCACTCCTTATATACCATTCTCTGCCCTGACATACTACTTCCTGGGTTTAAAGGCGTGTGCTTCCCAAGCAAAGGCATGAGATCTCAGGTGCTGGGATTAAAGGTGTGTGCCACCACTGCCTGACCTCTAATCTAGTGGCTGGCTCTCTTCTCTGATCCTCAGTCAGGCAAGTTTGTTAGGGTACACAGTATATCACCACACATACAATCACATCATTCTACATGTGTAGGTAGTGAGGCTTAGGAGCTCAAAGCCAGCCACAGGTATAATTTGAGGCTATCCTGGGCTTTATGAGATCCTGACTTAAAGAAGAAAGAGAAAAATGAAATCAGAGGGTTAGATTAGCATATATAGTAATTCTATACCAAGTTCCTAAGGAAGGCTTAAAATGAACAGGACAAAATCTGTCTTATAGGTGAATAAGTCTGATGACACTGCAGAACATCTCCTGGAGTTGGGATGGTTCACTATGAACAACCTTCTCCCCAATGCTATCTATAAGGCAAGTCTTACCTTTTTTTTTTTTTTTTTTTTAAATGGGGATGGGATTTAGGCAGGGCCTTGTTCATTCTAGTCAAGAACTCTACTAATCGACATCCCCACATCTATATGGCAAGTCTTATTTTGTCATTCCTAGCCCATTTATATATATGCTTTAGAGCAAAGGGCATTTGTGATGGTCTTTTCATATCAACTCATAGGAAACAATGTGATCTGAAATGGTATAGCTTGCCCACTTAGCAAGATCATTGGCTTCAGTTCTTCTGTACAAGGTTTGTGGATTGATTTTTAAGTTAACTTTTGGAGAGGACATTTAATAGAGCTGTTCACTCTGTCCTGTAGGTGGTTCTGCGGCCCCAGAGTTCCTGCCAATCGGGGAGACAGTTAGCCCTCCGCCTTTTTAGCAAAGTCCGGCCGCCTGTTGGGGGTATCTCTGTTAAGGAACACTTTGAGGTTTGTAAACACACAGTACCTTGGGAACCAAGGGCCAAAGGGCAGTTCAAAACTAAAAATTGTTAGTAATAAAAGACAAGGATAGTACCTGAGCCTAACTGCTTCTTTGCCTCTTTCCCTGCAGGTGAATGTGGTGCCTCTCACCATCCAGCTCTCCCACCAGTTCTTCCATAGAATGATGGGCTTTTTCTTTCCGGGTCGAAATGTGGAAGATGATGAAGTTGGTGATGAAGAGGATAAGTCTAAACTGGTGACAACTGGTGAGAATTGTTATTCTGGAATGCCAGAATAGAGTAGCAGCCCAAAGCCACTCAAGGAAAAGGATGACTGTTGGTGTTTGCTTTTTCTTAGGAATACCAGTAGTGAAGCCTCGGCAGCTGATAGCAACAGATGACTCAGTCCCGCTAGGCCCTGGGAAGGGTGTAGCACAGGGTTTGACCCGGAGTTCTGGGGTCAGAAGATCATTTCGCAAATTACCTGAGGTATGGCACATGTCCCTAAAGATTGAAAAATCAGAGAAAATGAATGTTACAGTAGTACTCTGTAATCTTAACACTTGGGGGACAGGTGTTGGAAAATCATGAGTTCAAGGGCAGCCTGGACCATATGAGATCCCGCTTCAAAAAAAAGCAAAAGAAACCCTCAAAAACTAAAATAAAAACATTTTAGTATGTATAAAAGTTTTTTTTTAGCCAGGCAGTGGTGGCTCACGCCTTTAATCCCAGCACTCAGGAGGCAGGGGCAGGTGGATCTCTGTGAGTTCGAGGCCAGCTTGGTCTACAGAGCGAGTTCCGGGGCAGCCAGAGCTGTTATTAATCATTTCTTTTGGACATGGCTGGGTGTAGAAACCTCTTTTCTTTGAGTCCATTCCAGGATTGAGAGGCTGGAGTAATAGTTAGGATATTTGGTTTCTTCTGGTTTTAGAGGCTTATGTTCCTTTCTTGTCTTTCCTAGCACCCAGTTGATGACATTGACAAGATGAAAGAGCGAGCTGCCATGAACAACTCCTTCATATACATAAAAATCCCACAAGTTCCACTGTGTGTCAGTTACAAGGTGTGTCCCGTCCCAGCAGTTTCTACGACAGTAGACAGAAGGGAACCAAGATTATAGAGGGTGACAACCAGGCTTCTGTGAGAATGGGCCGTGGGTGACAAACCTGCTGTTCCTTCTGCTTCCTGCAGGGGTCAGCACCACTACCAGAATGAGGGCGGGGAATCCAGTCTGTATCTGTAGGTTGCTAGCACAGGAATTATACTCTGAGTACTGGCTTAGATTCAAAATGGCAGCTGATGTAATTTTTCCCTCCTCCTCTTGCTCTTGCAGGGCGAGAAGAACAGTGTGGACTGGGGTGACCTTAACTTGGTGCTACCCTGTCTGGAGTACCACAACAATACGTGGACATGGCTGGACTTTGCCATGGCTGTCAAAAGGGACAGCCGGAAAGCTTTGGTTGCCCAGGTATCTCACCAGGGCTCATGGCTGTTTCGTTAGCAGGGACTGGCAAGCAAATGGGAGCCTTTTGTTCTACACTATATATTAAAAGAGAGCCAAGAAAGGGGCAGATAATAAAATGACTGATTGTTTGGTCCTTGTTTGGTCCTTGACATTGCCACAGTATGATCAAATAACTTTTATTTCATGTTAACAGTCGTTAATTTGAGGGAACTAAGGGCTGCTACAACCTCAGCTTTATGATGGATTCTGATTAGATTGTAAGCTTCTGAAAGCAGAGACCATTATTTATACACTTTATTCTTTACATACTTTGACCTGCCCCATTGTGCTTTGCATGTAAGTTTAATAAATTCTTGAACTGGTTCAGTTTGAATTGTTCGGCCCGTTCCACTAATCTTTTTGCCTTTCCTTTACTCCTCTCCACTTGCCAGGTAATCAAAGAAAAGCTAAGATTGAAACCTGCAACAGGGCCTGAGGTCCGGGGAAAGCTAGAAACAAAGTCGGACTTGAACATGCAACAGCAGGAAGAGGAGAAAGCGCGGCTCCTTATCGGTTTAAGTGTGGGTGACAAGAACCCTGGCAAGAAGTCCATCTTCGGCAGGCGCAAGTGACCTGGAGAGCCAAGGGACAGCGTGTAGAATCGACTCTGGCTCAGGGTCCAGCAACTTGAGGGCGGGCAGAGCTTCCCTTCATCCCACAGGATTTGTGGGCTTTGGAGCTTATAGGGAACTGAGACACTGTTCCGCAGCTGGCCTGTCCCTGCAGGGCATGGTGGACAAAAGTGCTAAATTCCCTCATGCTTACTGGGCCCAGGGCCAGAAAGGCCAGAGAACCAGAAGGCCTATGGAGTGTGTCCAAGCCTAGTGTCCTGCTCTTGGGGGCAACAGAAAGGGTGGGGATAGTTTTGATCAAGTATGATAATTTTTATAAATAGACATATATATATAATATATATATATATTTCTAAGTGTAATTGCTCTCCCTTTGTGCCAGTAAGCTGAGGGGAGGGGTCTGATCCTCTGTGCCTCACTCCACTGCCTTGTTGTATGAAAGGTGTTAGTGTTGGGGGGCGGTTCAGCTTCCCAGTCTGTGTGCTCACTTGGGAGGATGGCATTAGGAGCCAGGGCTGGCCATGGGTACCTTCCTTTCCTTTCCCCCTCGGGTATGCCCTGGAGAATGGAGAAAAAAAGAAGATGATTTAAAGAAAAAATATTTTAAATTTGATGCTGGCTTTTATTCTTTTTTTTTTTTCATTTGTGTTGAGTAAAAATGTCCAAGTTGTCCGTGTCCTTCCCTCCTCACTAACCCACCCATCTCTCCACTGCCATGGTAATGACTGGCCTTTCTCCTCCTCTGGAGTCGTATGGGAGCGACTTCCCAGCCCGGGTATGATGCTGACCTGAAGCTGATGGGTCTGTGTACACTGGGAGAGGCGGGGCTCCTGGGTAATGCAGCACAGAGATAGGAATTGCTTATGTAACTGGGGCAGCAGATTGACTGGAAGGAGAGGAGGCAGAGGCTGGGGATGGGAGCAGTGAGCTGTCGGCAGGGGCAACACACCCGGGTGTCTGCTCCTCAAAAGGTACAGAATGGGGCTCTGGCTGCCTGTGGATGGGAAGTGATGGAGGTAAGGGCCTGAAGCCAGAAAGTGCCGAGTTAGGAGCCTGTCCGTGATAGCCAATGGGGTGTGGGCATAGAGGCTATACTGTGAGTAGCCCCACTCAGGCACAGATTGTATTCCTGATTTGTCATGGAGAGAACATACAACTGTTACTGTCATCTATATTTTGAATTATATTGAGGAAATCTAGGTCACATCACAAGGCCTAGGAAGTTCCTTCCTTCTAGAGCAGTGGTTTTCAACTTGTGGGTAAATGACCCCTCTGGGATGGACTGGCCCTTTCACTGGGGTCACACCAGATATTTACATTACAATCTACATCAGTAGCAAAAGTATAGTTATTATATAGCAACCAAAGATAATTGTATGGTTGGGGGTCACCACCACAAGAGGAACTGTAATAAAGGGTTGCAGCGTCAGGAAGGGTGAGAACCACTGCTCTAGAGGGTAAGACTTGAGGGGAAGGAGTACCTGCTAAGATGGATCGAACCTGCAGTGCCTCCCTTCTCAGCAGGGTGGCAACATCCAGGGTCCTTGGGCCCGAGGCTGGAAGAGCCTCTGGTGTGGTGTGGGGACCGTCAGGTCAGGTCTGGAAGAACTATGGGAGCTACAGAGGCATCAGTGCCTGCCTCAGGAGCCCCTCCAGCCAGCCCCACTGCTGCTAGAGAAGCCGTTGTCTGAGTGGCCAGTGCCTCAGTTCATCAACCTCTTTCTACCAGAGTTTCCCATGAGGCCTGTTAGGGGGCAGCAGGAGCTAAAGGTAGGTCATCGGAGTCCCTGGGAAGTCTTTGGAGGAATCTAGAAACCACCAGTCTCAGGTGCCCTCTTCTCCATTTTAGATTTTGGGCCTTGTGGCTAAAGGCTCTTTTGGAACCGTCCTGAAAGTGCTGGATGGTGCCCAAAAAGCTGTATTTGCAGTGAAGGTAGGAGTCTAGGTATTCCACTCATTCAGTGGTTACTGTTTACAGCCTTCGTTTCAGAGGTCAGGAGCAGCATTGTTTTCCATGAGTTCTGCCTCTCCATTTGTAGGTGGTACCCAAAGTCAGAGTCCTACAGCGGGATACCCTGAGGCAGTGCAAAGAGGAGGTCAGCATCCAGGTGTGCACAATTCTGAAAGCATGGCTGGGAGAATGAAATTGCTGGTGGAGAAAGTCCCTCGCTTTGTCCAACCTACCTGCTTTTCTTGGCTCTACCTTCGCCATATGTTTCCATCTTGGTGCAATGTAGCCCCAGAATAAATCCTGAGAAAAGTATTATTAGCTGTAGACCCAGTCCAAGTTCTGCCAGGGAACTCTCCAACATACCTTGGCATGCTCCTTGGCAGTGTGCTGGCTCCAGGGTTCCCAGGGAGGTGGTCCCAAATGAGCTCTGAGTCAGGTGAGGCAACAGCTCATTTCTACACAAGGCAACACCTGGTTTCTTGGCTGTCTTTATCATCAATAAGCCTGTACTTTACTAACTTGCTCCTTTCTTTGTCTCTAGCGACAGATCAACCATCCTTTTGTACACAGCCTGGGAGACAGCTGGCAGGGGAGGCGACACCTCTTCATTAGTGAGTGGACTGGGCTTTGTCCCCATCCACAAAGGCCCCCAGACCGTTCTCCCAACCTGATGCTATTCTGCCTTCCCTTGGTTCCACTCCTCATAGCATTTCTGTATTCCAAAAGTAGAGGGGAAAGGCTGGGGGGTTGGTTTGGGCAGGAGGTCTATAATGCCTTGAGCCCAGGCCCTATAGACCACAGATACTGCCTGGACTTCTGGTGCTTTGCAGTGTGTAGCTACTGCAGCATGGATCTCCACTCCCTGTGGTCTGCTGTTGGTGGTTTCCCAGAGGCTTCTATCCGTCTCTTTGCAGCTGAACTGGTCCTTGTGCTGTGTAAGTGAAAGAGTGGTAGAGGAAACGGAAAGGGGAGAATTAAGTTGGTGGGGAAGAGAAAATAGAATTGATACTGAATTCTGAAAGTCAGGGTAGAGATGGGATAGAAGCTACAGAAACTGGAAGAGACAAGAGACCTTACACACACCTATGCTCACTGTTCTCCACAGGCTATCTCCATGACATGGGTATCATCCATCGAGATGTAAAGGTAGAGTTAAGTCTTTTTTCTTAGTCTGAGGAAGAACCTCAATAAGAAGTTCCAACAGGTCTGAGAAGGCAGTGAGAAGCAGAGACAGTTTACCTGGGTTCCTATGGATGCGAAGGGTTTAGGGATGGGTCCTCCAAGTAGAGGTTTGAATGCTGAGTAGACAGACTACCTTCTCCAGCTAACAGCTTTACATGAAAGAAAGCCAGGTGTGGTCATACCTGCCTATACTCCAGCACTACTGGGGGTGGGGGGGTAGGAGTGCTACAAGTTTGAGGCTAGCCTGGTATATATACCTAATTCCCAGCTAGCCCAGGCTACATAATGAGACCCTGTGTCAAAAAATAACAATGGGGGGGGGCTAGGGAGATGGCTCAGCGGTCAAGAGCACTGGCTGCTCTTCCAGAGGACCCGGGTTCAATTCCCTGCACCCACATGGCAGCTCATAGCTGTCTGTAACTCCAATTCTAGAGGATCTGGCACCCTCACACAGACATACATGAAAAACACCAATGCACATAAAAAACAAATAAATAAAAAACAATGGAAAAACCAAATCAGAGTCAATGGAAATAGTACAATAATGTCCTCTCGCCCATGATTTCAGATGGAGAACATCCTTCTGGATGAGCGAGGTATGTCTTCTTTTCCAGCCTCAGGATGAGTGGTACCTCTGCAAAAAAAGACACAGGTTGAACACTGTCTCCTTATTCCATAGGCCACCTGAAACTGACAGACTTCGGTCTGTCTCGCCGTCTGTCCCCGGGAGCACGAGCCTACACTATCTGTGGGACTCTTCAATACATGGGTGAGGGAGAAGCTGAAGCTGGTGGGGAGGGTGACGTAGAGAAGTGGTGACGAGTCCCTTCTCCCCACAGCCCCAGAGGTCCTGAGTGGTGGGCCTTACAACCACACTGCTGACTGGTGGTCCCTGGGGGTGCTGCTTTTCTCTCTGGCAACTGGTAAGGTGAGAGAATGGTATTGGCGCTGGGCAGGGGAGAGAGCTTGGCTTTGGGGAAAAGACCTTAGAAAGCCGCCTTCCCACCCCTACCCCTTTAACTCAGTTCCCAGTGGCTGCAGAAAGAGATCATGTGACCATGTTGGCAAGTGTGACCCACTGTGAATCTGAGATGCCAGCCTTTATTACTCAGGAGCTCTCACTCCTGCTCCATGAGGTAAGGGGACATACTGCTTTCCTTTTTGACTCCCAAGCTATTCACCATTTTCTTTTCATCAAAGTGGTATTTCCCAGCAGTTTCCCCCCCCCCTCCCTTCCTCCCTCTCTCTCTCTCTCCCCCCCCACCCTCTCTCTCTCTCCCTCTTCCCCTCTCTCCCTCTCCCCCTCCCCTTCTCTCCCTCTCCCTGATGCGGTCTGATGGGGATGGAGATGCTCCAGCTACCCATTTCCCCTGTAACTGGTACTGCAGATCTCACTCCCGAGTTCCTGCCACCCTAAATCCTTTCCTCCCCCAGAACAGACAGGTCCTTTTGAAGAGCCTGGGCCAGTGCTACCTTATCATCTGCAAATCCAAGTCCATCTCCTTTATCCTCACCAGTCCTCCCACTCTCTCTAATCACCATGTTCTTTTTTCACAAATCTTCTTCTATGCTTTAGGATTTTCCTGCCTTCCATAGCTGCACGAACCATTCACTGCCTTTCACCCTCTCTGTTTAGCCTCTGTCTTATCCCAGGCTCATTCTGTTTTCCTTCAGCTCCTGTGCCAGAACCCTCTGCACCGTCTACGTCATCTGCATCACTTCCAGGTCCACCCTTTCTTTCGGGGTGTGGCCTTTGACCCTGAGCTCCTAAAGAAGCAGCCAGTGAGCCTTGTCGTGGAGACACAAGATAGCAGCAGTCCATTGGAGTCCATGCCCTTCAAGGACTTTGACTGTGATCTGGAGTCCTTGGTCCACTCCGTCTCTGCTGATTCTCTACTGCAGATTGAGGCCCAGCTGGAAACCTGAGGATTTCTACTGCCAGCTCAGCATGATCACCGTGATGATCCAGTTTTTTCTTTGTTGTCCTTATTATTCGGTTGTAGGTATTGGACCAGAGTTTAAATTGTTGGCATTCTGCAACTGATGGCCAAAACTGCCCCTGATGCTTTCCTGTCACACAACCCACCTCTCACTTGCAGGCCAAGGCGGTGACCTTTATTTCATTTCTGCAGTACTTTTCACCTAAGCTGCCAAACAAAGGCTTCTTAAAACTCTATCTTATCCATGTTTTCTACCATACTTCCTGTCTTGGGCAATAATGACACTTTGTGGGATCCCGAAGTGCTATTTATATGTTTAACAAGCTAGTCAGAGCAATATGAATGCTTTTTAAAGATTGCAAAAGCTGGTATTTCAACACCTGATAAATAAGCAGTTAAAAAATATGACCTGCCAGGTGGTGGTGGCCCTGCGCCTTTAATTCCAGCACTTGGAAGGCAGAGGCAAGTGAACCTCTGAGTTTGAGGTTATCCTGGTCTACAGAGCGAGTTCCAGGACAGCCAGGGCAGTTACACAGAGAAACTCTGTCTCAAAAACAGCCCCCCCCCCAAAAAAAAAAAATTACCTAGGAGTTGGAGAATAGGCTCATTGCTCTTGCAGAGGAGTCAGTTGAGTTTTTAGCCCCTCACAAGTGCCTATAAATCCAGCTCCCGGGGATCCCACACTTCTGGCTTCCTCAGATGTGAATACCCACATACAACATACATATGCATACCCACACAGACACATGAAAATAATTTAAAATAATTTTTTAAATGCCAGGCATGATAGCACATGCCATTAATTCCAGCAACGCAGGTGGATCACTGTGACTTTTGCCTGGTCTACATAGTGAGTTCCGGGACAGCCAGGGCTACATACTGAAACCCTGTCTCAAATAAAAAACAAATGCAAAATGGCCCAGCAGATAAGGGACCTGCCCTGAAGCCTGAGGACATGAGTTTGATCCCCAAGACTCACACAGGAGAAGGAGAGACTGACTCCCACAACATGTATGCCACACCCCCCCCAAATAACTAACTATCTAAATAAATGTAATTAAGAAAATGTGATCTAGAAGCTTGAAGCTATTCTTCAATAAATACTATTTATTTATTGGTTGTTTTTTTTTTATTGGTTTTTCAAGACAGGGTTTCTCTGTATAACCGCCCTGGCTGTCCTGGAACTCACTCTGTAGACCAGGTTGGCCTCAAACTTAAAGAGATCTGCCTGCATCTCTGTGAGTTCGAGGTCAGTCTGGTCTACAGAGCAAGTTCCAGGACAGGCTCCAAACCTCCATAGAGAAACCCTGTCTTGAAAAACCAAAAAAAAAAAAAAAAAAAAAAAAAAAAAAAGAGATCCACCTGCCTCTGCCTCCCAAGTGCTAGGATTAAAGGGGTGCGCCACCACTGCCTGGCAATAAATATGATTTTTAAAAATTAGAAAGTGAATCTAATAATTGCTGAATGTGAGGAAGAAAACAGATTTCACTATGGATGGATTCTGTCTTCTCTAGGATAACATGAGAGCCTCCTAAGTCTATTCCAAAACAAAGCCTCCTAAAAAGACACAAGGATTATTAAACTGATCAGACAGCCTAAGATTCAGAGTTATTTTTTTCCCCCACTTTTGACCTGGACCAGCAGAGGACCAGGGATTCAGAAAATAAAGAAGGAAAGTTTGGGATCAGGTCTTACACAAGCTGTGTCTTAAGCCACACTTATTAAGGACAGCATCTTATGTATGGTTTGCAGAGGAATGGGACAGAGTCAGCAGAAAAGGATCTCACAGTAAAACCAAGTCAGCAGGAAGCTAATCAGGCAATGTTGCACAAAGGGAACACCAGTGCATCACAGCAGCCATGGGACTGATAACTGTAGCCTTTTAGGGGGAAGAGTTGACTGTCAGGACACAAAGCAACAGCTCCTCCGAGGCCCTGACCCCATTATTGGCTCTGCTAAGCATATTCCTGGTTTTGAACTACATCCCTCTTCCATACATCAGGCCTCAAGGAAGCCTTGGGTCGGCTTGGCTCCCAACACCTTTAGTTTTAAGATTCGGGGATTTGTGTTGTTGCTGTTTTGTGGTCCTAGGGATCAAACCTAGGGCTTTATGTATGCTAGGCGAGTATCTATTAAGTTACATCCCCAGTGTTCATTCATTCAGGTTTCCTCCTCTCCTAGACAAGGTCTCTTCAAGTTGCCAAAGCTAGTGCCTTGAACTTGTGATCTTCCTGCCCTAATCTTCCAAATGGCTGAGATTATAGACCTGCACTACTAGACCTATGCTAAGATTGGGTTTTGATCAACAAATGAAAACATTGAGAGCTACGGTATTAATTTTAGGATTTAAAGTTACATATGTATCTCAAGAACATTTTCCTGTTGTAAGGAAAATCATCTAGATCTTTTATGGACATTTCTGGCCTTTGACTTCATTTTCTTCAACTTATAAAGCTCCATTTTTGCTCTGGTTTTTTGTTTGTTTGTGGGTTTGTTTTTTTTTTTGGAGACAAGGTTTCTCTTTGTAGCCTTGGCTGTCCTGGAACTCACTCTGTAGACCAGGCTGGCCTCAAACTCTCAGAGATCCACCTGCCTTGGCCTCCTGAGTGCTGAGATTAAAGGTATGTGCCACCACTGCCTGGCTTGTTCTGATTTTTAAAATTTAGGCTTTAAATTTTTATGTGTCTGAGTATTTTGCCTGCATGTGTGTATGTGTACTCTCCAGCCCCTATGTTACTATGTTTAGGTAAAAATGTGTTTTAATCTACACTATTATTTTTCAGTTATGTCTGATCTCTCTTCAGGCCAAAAAGATACTAAAGAGTATCATATACACTCTTAGTATTCTCTCTGGATTAGGCCAGGATTTCTATTTTTTTTTTTTTTTTTTTTGGTTTTTCGAGACAGGGTTTCTCTGTGTAGTTTTGCGCCTTTCCTGGAACTCACTTGGTAGACCAGGCTGGCCTCGAACTCACAGAGATCCGCCTGGCTCTGCCTCCCGAGTGCTGGGATTAAAGGCGTGCGCCACCACCGCCCGGCCAGGATTTCTATTTTATTTGCCTCGGTAGAATTTTTTTTTTTTTCTGGTTTGTGCTTTGGCAATCCATCTGAATCTCTATGAATTTGATTGGTGCTCTAATTGTATGCTATGGGGCTGGAAAGATGGCTCAGTGGTTAGCAGCACTTGCTCTCACAGAGGACCCGGCTTTGGTTCCCAGCACTCACATGGTAGTTCACAACCATACATAACTCCGGTTCCAGGGGATCTGATGCTTTCTTCTGACCTCTGTTGGCACCAGCCACACAAATGCACATACACATATTCAGGTAAGACACTCATACATATAAAATAAATAATGAAAGTGCTAAGGGTATTACTGGGGTGTTGTAGGAATTTAGCAGAATCACTGTGTCTGGGGTAGATATTAGAATGAACAACTGTTTTTCAGAAGTACTTTGACCTTGAAGACTCCTTGTGGAAAACAGTGATTGTTTCCCATGGTCTGTACAATTGTTTTGCTGAAGGGGCTTTGCAGCCAGTCCATGACTTTGGTCACAAGACACCTGGGCACACCTGGGGATCTTGTGTATTGCACACAATACATAATAAGACTGGAGCCATTGAGGCATGTGATGCTCTCCTTCAGTAAGACATGTAAATTAAGGTTAGGGACCTTGGTATGAGGAAATACTTTGTGTAATCATCAATAAATATGCCTTTGTATGGCTGTTTGGGGCTCAGTCCATCAGAAGAGGCTGGACCTTCCTGCTGCCACTTAGGCCTTGAAATTTCATCTTGGGAGTGCCTTCTTTCTTCAACTGACCTGCACCATATGGTGCACCCCGACACAGGGGTCATAATGTTCTATGTAAGAATGTTCAAGCCGGGCGGTGGTGGCGCACGCCTTTAATCCCAGCACTCGGGAGGCAGAGCCAGGCGGATCTCTGTGAGTTCGAGGCCAGCCTGGTCTCCAAAGCGAGTTCCAGGAAAGGCGCAAAGCTACACAGAGAAACCCTGTCTCGAAAAAAAACCAAAAAAAAAAAAAAACCAAAAGAATGTTCAGGGGATTCTGACACTAAATAATTATCTATAGTTTCCTCCTTGTACTAATAATGTACCAATTAGAGCCCAGTTGGGGGCCTACCTCCAGAAAAATTGCACACCAGTCACTTACTTTTTTTTTCTTTTGCTTATTTTCATTTTTCTGTTATAATCTTTTGTATTACTATATTATCTACATCTTTGTAATCCTTAGATTAATATTGGTATAGAAAAGAATAAAAGGCTATATCCTTCATCCTGTTAGCTCATTTTTTTCTCTTTAGACATTTTATAGTTCTGATCATTTGTGGTAATGATCAGAACTACACACTGAATTAAAAACCTTAAATACTAAAAATAGGAATCAATTTTTAAGAGAGTTGAATTTGAATTTAGGATATTTGGTATCTGGATCTACAGTAACTATCTCAGTATGTTTTAAACAAGTCTGTTCAATTGCTTCAGATCTGGGATAGAAAATGAAGACATTACAATCAGTTTTTCCCCTCTGCACTACCCTGGGTCTTGTGCATTCTAAGCAGACCACGACTAAGCAGATTAGCCCTAAAGACTGGTTATTAGCTGAGGGGAACAGGTTTCAGGTTTATCTTTTTTTTCTTTTAATGATTTCTTAAAAATATTTATTTGTGTGCTGGAAAGATGGCTCAGTGGTTAAGAGCACTGGCTGCTGTTCCAGAGGACCAGGGTTCAAATACCAGCACCCACATGGCAGCTCATAACTGTCTGTAACTCCAGTTCCAGTGGATCTGACATGTTCACATAGACATATATGCAGGCAAAACACCAATGCACATAAAACAAAAATAAATTATTAAAAAAGTATTTATTTGTGGGGGCTGAAGAGATGGCTCAGAGGTTAAAGACACTGGCTGCTCTTCCAGAGGACTGGGGTTCAATTCCCAGCACCCACATGGCAGCTCACAACCGTCTGCAACTCCAAGATCTGACACCCTCACACAGTCACACATACAGGCAAAACACTAATGCACATAAAATAAAAATAAATAAATTATTAAAAAATACCACCACCAGCCGGGCGGTGGTGGCGCACGCCTTTAGTCCCAGCACTCGGGAGGCAGAGCCAGGCGGATCTCTGTGAGTTCGAGGCCAGCCTGGTCTCCAAAGCGAGTTCCAGGAAAGGCGCAAAGCTACACAGAGAAACCCTGTCTCGAAAAACCAAAAAAAAAAAAAAAAAAACCACCACCACCAGGCTAAGCCCGGTTTATTTGATGCTGATAAAACCCAGGACTTTTTGCATGCTAGGCAAGCATTCTACCAACTGAGTAACACCCTCCACCCTTTGTGATGTTTTGTTTTGTTTTTTTCTAAAGGCAGAGGTAAACTGAGCATAATGAAGCCAGGAGGTGGTGGTGCACACCTTTAATCCCAGAATTTAGGAGGCAGAAGTAGGTGGATCTCTGAGTTTGACACCAGCCTGGTACACATAGTGAGTTCCAGGACAGCCAGGGCTACACAGAGAAACTCTGTCTTGAAAAATCAAACAAACTCACTGGGCATGATGGTACACACCTGAATCCGGGCACCCAGGCAGGGCAGCAGGCAGAAGGATCATGGTTTAAGGCTAGCCTGAGCTACAGTGGGGAAGGCTGTTTCAGAAAAATTCAGCAAAGGCCAGACAGACTAAATTAGCATAAGTAAAGGCTCTTGGCGGCCCAACCTGATGATCTGAGTTTGGAACCTGGAACCTGTATAAACTGGTGACAGGACCACTCCAAGGAAGGTTTTGTTTTGTCTGGGCTTCTCTGTGTAGCTCTGGCTGCCCTGGAACTTGCTTTGTAGACCAGGCTGGCCTCAAACTCAAAGGTCCACCTGCCTCTGCCTCCTGAGCGCTAGGATTAAAGGTGTGCGCCACCACCGCCCGGCAAAGGGAAGATTTTTATTGTAGATATGAGAGATACACCAGAGGCATCTGGAAGAGTCCAGAGCAGGAAGAGAAAGTAGTAGAAATGAATATGGCCAGCAGACTGAACCTGGCCATGAGAGAAGCAGAGAGGGAGGGAGGGAGGATGGAGGAAGACAGAAGGAGAGAG